GACCATTATCCGTTAATTAGGAGAGCGAATATAAAATTTACATGCAAATGTGAAACGTAGGATTATATAAGTTTCTTACTAATGAATATGCAGTTTTATTTAGAGAAATTAAAATAAAATCATATATTTTTAACTAATAGTATGCAGGACGCAGACGAGCGTTGTCGTGGAGAAAAAGGAAAATAAGTAGTGAAAATAAAATATATTTGACAATTTATGAAATGGTAGCTGCAACAGGATAAATTAATAATTCTGTTGTGTTTCCTATGGTGACGGTGGAGAACCAGAGACTTTTTTACGGGTTAAAATCAATGTTACAAGTGCTTCGATCCTAATTTAAATGAATAGTTTTCTTTTATTGTATTTATATCTCACCAGTCATAAGCAACGACTCAAAGTACTAGCCTTTCGGTGCTTTACAGGAAACCTTTCTATTTTTAAGAGCGCAATACTTGCGCACTTTCTCCGAAATGAACTTGAACCAGACGATCGGCTGATATCCACCCCTTTGTTGTTGACGTTCGTCGTATTAGTCGCAATAAAAGTGAAATATTTTTGTTAGCATTCGTCTTTCCATCCGATAGCAATGTTGGTGTCTTCAAAGTAAGAGTGAATAAGCTATTATGAAACTAAGCAAATACACTTCACTGTCTTCGGCTGCATCACCACTTTCCATCAGATGAGATAGTAGTCAAATATGGTATATTATAGTGGCAAATATCCTGCATATAATAGTTGCCACAATTTATAGGTTTATAGGTAGGCAATTGTATTTTTTATTATTATGGATTGTTATCAGGAAGAAGGCAAATATCCGCTCTATTTGCCATAGTTGTCATGCTTGGCGGGTGGATTCGCAACCACAATTTGTTCTAATTTTGAATTGTTATAAAAAAGATGTTGTTTTAACCTCGTGTTTCATTTTTCGATATATATTTTTGATTACCTGTATCCCATAAATGCGGAAACGGTTAGATTATGATAAATGATTTCGGAGATGTTGGCGCGTTAACTATGAAATGAAAATGTAAAGTGAATTATGACGTTAAAGATTAAACAAAACAAATTTGTAGGGAACTTACTTACACTAGCCTTTTCGTAGGATAATCGAAATACTGGAATACATTTGGAAAATGTTATCAAGTCGACCCAAAACTTCAGCGTTGAATAATACGAAGGGACCGTTATCATCCCGATAGAAATATGGGAATACCATTTACATACATAATAAATTTACATAATATGTTATGTTAGGTTATTTACCAATTTTGATGTTCCCATAGATGATTTTAGAACATTTTAGTTCTTAATATATTTTGTTCGTTTTCTTATTAATTATTTTCAATAAATCAAGAGCAAAATATTATTATTATTATCATTCATCATCATCATTACAGCCCTTCAAAAATACACTGCTGAACATAGGCCTTCTAAGGAATGACACAAAGCACGGTCCTGAGCCACCGGCATCAATCAACTCCCTTATGCATGTCTTACCGGGTTACGATAACATCTTAATAAAAAAAAACTGCTGTTGCAAACCGTGGTAACTATGGAAAATATTTCCATTTTGAGGCAATCTATAAGGGTAGCCTATGTTCAGCAATAAATTTCGATGAGATGGTATGATGGTGATGATGATGATGTGACGAAATGGTGTGCCTAGCACTGGGGCGTATGTAGACTCTTACTTTATTCTATATCTTTATCCATTGCTTGTATAAAATATTATACTTTTACTTAATAAACTTTCCTCTTTCTATACATATTATTATGTAAGAAATTATACCAATTCTAGTACTGTTAAAACATATAAATCCGAGTGTATATGAATCAAAATAAATATTATTTCTTAATCTACTACTATACTTTATAAAATTGAACGTTTATTTTAGTGTAATTTAGTTTCATTTAACTTACTTTCTTTCAATAACTTACTTTCAAAATAAGTAATAGAAATAATAAAAAAATAAAATTTGTAATTAAATTTAAAAATTAAAAGATGTATACAGCTTTAAAAAAAATAAGAACGGTAAACTAGCTTGTTATGGTTAGAATCTTAGCATTAAAATGCTAAGATGAAAATTACTAACACAGTGCTTAGATACCATTTACGTGGTGAAATCCTCATGAACATCCACCGCTATGAAGGCAACGGGAGGTTACTCCGTTACAATAGGCTACGCCAGACTATTGATGCGTCAACTCGAGTTACTAACTCGAGTTAACACGAGTTGCGCTTAACTCGAGTTAACTCGAGTTGGATCTCCCTAACTCGAGTTTTGGCGGCTGTGGATGACCGGATCAAGTGAGCCAGCAAAATAGTAAGAGCGCGATTCACTCGTTGTGTGCACGCTTTGTGTTTCAAAGAGTATATTTAGCTACAACCAAAACAATTTTTACTTAGAATTTTATAATAGCTAAGTTATGTAATTTAACTTCTTTTATAATTTTGATTAATTATGATCGATATAGTTATGTAAGTCACAGACCTCTTATTTGAATACCCGAAAAGGGTGGTTAAGTTGTAAGATACGTCATATTTTAAATTAACGCCAAATGTCTTCGAGCTTAAACTCGAGTTGCGTGAATTTCAACTCGAGTCGAAATTTTTCCGAGTTGGCACATCTATACGCCGGACTCTTAGTGGCTAAAACCCTATGGTGGTACTTAACAGCGCAAACAGTGGATTCTCATTCTATGCGACCGAAGCCCCTCTATCGCTTTGCATAATAACCACCTTCCGGAGTTAGTACATGCTTCACCCAGTACCCTCGCGGTGCTATCACGATACCTATACACTAATTCCAAGCCTTCGTTCACCTCGAGTTCACATTATTAGACGTTCCAAAATTTCCCCGATTGCCCATGTCTCTAGAGACACTAGAACATCGTCATCGACAGTATGACCGATACTTACTCTTACGCCTTTACGTCGTTATCTCCGAGTCAGCCAACTTCAAATATAAGATATAGGTTTGTTGGCACTCTGTAGGGCTAGTGGAATGCTTCACTATTTCTTGTTATACGTATTCTTTTACCCAACTCTTACTCTTCAAACCTTAACACAACAGTGATTGCAATGTTACTGTACGGTGAATATGGTTTAAAAGGTAATTATGGAACGAAAGTAAGAAGAAATAATAGACATATTAATTAAAAAAAGAGAAGATTGTATAGCGTACGTGAGGGTAATATTGTGGTCATCCGGTTAATATACTCACTTTCTTATAATTCAAAAACTACAGCCTTGTTTGCATAGATAGCTCTGTGAATCGATAGCTCTTTTAAGTAAGTAAGTAGCTCGTCTTAATCAAATAATAAAGGGTCAAAAGGGCGCTGCTTTATCGACGCTTTTTTTACTGTTGACAGTATAGTAAATATGGTCATTAAGTGTTTTTATTTTAAGCTGATTTTTTGAAGTGTTTCTTACTACTGCAAAAGCTTGTTTGCTTTTTTTAATACATTAGTTATAGTATATGACTTTGTGTTTTTGTCTTCCTCCTAGTTTTCTTTGTATAGGGTGGATAAACTTATTACCATATCTGTAATAAATTACTAATATTACACATATTATGATATTACCTTCACTTACTTACTTATCTTCACGCACAATCCCTGACGGGGTAGCCAGAGAGAACAGATTTCGCCAAGTGTCACGATCCTTACATACCTCTTTCACCTTCACTTGCCTTATAAAAATTAATAAAGTTGTATTATGTCGAAAGAACCTGCTATAACCGTGTTTTTTTAGTCGGGACCTCAATTGATTTATAAGTACAAGACGAAGTTCTAGTAGAAAACCTACTTAATGTGTGTCCATCATGATGACCGCGTGACATATTGGTCAAAATATTTAAAAATGAAGCAACGGGTTATTTGCATCCGAAGCTAACGTCGAAAAAACTAAAAAGCTAACCCTGTCTCTGTACTCAAAATAATTCCGTTTATCTAACATTAAGTCATGGCCTTCGTTTGATTACATTGCCCAAAGCTTAGTGTGGTTAATTTTATTTATTTATTTTAATATACCTATTATATATTTATAGTTTTATAGCCAACAGTTATTTCAATTAAACATATAAATATTATCCTTCTTACAATAAATCTTGATAAATATAGCAACTACTTATAAGTAAACACCATTTGCTAGGAAGTAAAGACATTTAAAGCTGACAACAAATATTATATTCAAATTTGGAATTCTAGAAAGAGTGGGTAGTTTAAATAAACCTATGGTAAATTAATTTTAAATATAAAAATTTTGACGACCATCGTTACGTCCATAGAGAAACACAAGCAACACGGTCCGCCGGTGGTCCGTGTTGCTCTATGGTTGCGTCCATGAAATTCCAGCGTTTATCTAATGATAAACGCTGGAATCTCATAGAAAATAAATTTAAATGTTGTAGTCAGCTTTTATAGGAAACTAATTTCTTAGCTTTACGTTATAAATACTAATGTAAGGTGCCACATAGACTGTTTTTGTATATGTTTAGTTTTCGTAAGCATTTGAAAGTTGTATTTCGACTTTGCATTATCATTATTGTTTCACCGAGTGCCATTTTTGGCCTGAACCGAAGCCGAAGCATTTGTGCTTAGTTCTAGCTCCAGCTGAGTAGAGTAGTACATTTTAGTCTTACTGTTTTTGACACATAATAGAAACACAAATAACAAGATGTAATTTTTACTAGAATAACTTAGAATTTGTCGTTTTGGTTACTTAATCAGATCCTCGGCTGATTTTTGCGGAAGCCGAAGCTCAACCCGAGGCTAGGGTCCATCCCAAAACAAGCGGTATATTTTGGTTTCTTTCGGTGTGATCATTTTCGAACTTAACCTATCTGGGTAAGGTTAATTGTGAGATTAAATTTAATAAAAACGCACCTTATAAATAAACAAATTTATTGTAAAAATTTTTCATTCTTAAAATTAGGTGTAACTGAGTAGCCTTCCAATTACGTTGACTAAATATTCACTATCAATGGCAGTGTATTTTCTCAACTCCCCGAGTCTAGTGAACAACCTGTTAACAAAATTATTTAAATGAGAAGAATATTATTTTTGCAGCACATGCTTCGTTTTAGTACAAAATTTTTATATAGTGTGCTCGCCTAAAAAATTATAGTGCCCGAGCAAACTGACTTCAATTATCACTGGCACCATTAAAACTATTTGGTTGAATTTTTGTGATAATATATTATGTACTCGGCGGTAAAGGAAAACTGTATGAGCAAAACCTGCATATCTGAGACATGTAATGGCTGTTAAAATTGTATCAAGAGTGGTGAATTTCTCCTTGTCTTTACCCTCTCCTAGAATAAAACGAGACCCACTCAGCACAAATAAATACTTTACTTATTTTACTTTAAAATTAATATTAAAACAAATAACGCACCATGATCCGGGCAATAATGACGACGCCGTCTCCGTCGCCTTTGGTCGTCGCAGGTATCTACGCATGTTTCCTCTAAAAAGGTAATGTTTATCAAATTTGTACAATAAAACAGATAATATACCAACTTTTTCCCCTAATACTAAATGGTGATATACATATACTACATTCGAAAATGTTGAACTCAAATGCACATTTTGCACAATGTTTTACACAAACAACGTTAATAATTTTGGCTCTGTACTTATCAACCTCCATTCTTAGCGATGTAAACAAAGAAAAATCTAGAAAAATAAGGAACACATTGCCACATAATATAGCTGCGATATAAATGGGTCAGCTGGCGGGCTATTCACAATCGTCTCGGAAAGCGAAATCGACTCGGATTCGATAACTTCTCGCACCGAAACCAATAAACGCTATTCACATTTAATGTTCGGATAAAGGTGACTTAGATACATCCCATAACTATTGTATCGTCATTTAGTTACATGCATTTACGAATTTTGTAGATAAATAGGCATTTTGTATTTTTTTTTTTGAGTAACGCCTGAACAAAAACATAAGGCAATATTTTGGTGTTAGCCATTGATATCGAATATAAAAAATATATAATTTAACTATATAATAACAAAAAAACTGAGATATGTCTCGTTTCTGTCGGATCTGGGTTTTTTCTATGGGGCGTGACCGTACTTCTTTGACGTTTGTTTTCGATAATTGTGACAGTTTGCACGAGAACTCTATATACAGGGTATTTTTGGAACGCTCCCGAAAACTAAGACAGGCGACAGCACCAAGTATACCTTTGATCATGGGTCACAAATAAATTTGATCCTGATGAAAAAAAAATCATATTTTTACAACGTTTTATTAGCTTTATTCACGCGCCATCATGTTAGTACAGCTAAATGAATCGATAATTTCATAAAAAAAATCATGAAAATACTGAAACATAAAACCAGCAGTGGAAACTGAATTGATATCACCTGACTAATGGAGGTTAATGTACGCGCGAACGGTGAAAAAAGAACGCTGGCCTTGAACTTGGGCATTGAGCGATTTATCACATATAGGTACGAGGGGGGTGCGACGGGGGATCAATCCGCCAGTATTACTGTGCCTGCATGCTATTGGTTCACGCGCTTTGTTCGCTCCAAAAATACAGTCGCATACACAGCTTACTTTGCGACTCGCGACGATGTTTTAAAAAGGAAGGAAACAAAAATTATTTATATCTATTGTTTTATGACTAAACTAGTGAACGAAAAGGTAAATATGATATGAGAAGGTGAATGGGGAAAATTGTGCAGTAAAGTGTTGAGGGAGAATACCGAAAAAATTACCATGTGATCGACCTGATGACGGAAGCTCAAGCGAAGATGAAAGTGATGATGAAGTAGCATCCAGTAATACCAACACACCATCAACATCTGACTTTCATGTGACCCAAGACGTCATAATGGACGGCGTGTCACCCTTAAGTTTTTTTTGTTACAAACTACTTTATATTTTACGATAGAAATAACAAATAATGCTCAAGTAAACATTATCCATTTTTAATTCCCACCTCTTCCAAAGTTCTAAGTAAATAGTAAAACACCTATTATGATTCCACAATTAAACAATTAATTACTATAATATTATAAAACAATAGCCCAATACCATGTAGTACTTTAGAACGCGACTGTACCCACACTTCCTCCGCTGTCGACCTGTATCTAGCTCGGTACGAAACAATGGTATGCGGTCGGAAGAAAAAAGGGCGCATCTAACAATTTTTGAATAAATGAGTTAAATATACCATGACTCATGATAAGAAGGCGCATCTACTAAATTTTTTTAATATTCACAAATATCAATATTTTAGAAATTATCGTAAGGATTTTAGACGTAACTGTTGATCACAGATGACATCTTTTTATTAGAAAAGACTTCAACATAAAAGAAAAGACTTATTTAACCAGTGGCTACGTCATCTTTAACAATATTTGCATCGATTACTTAAATTTCAATTATTCTTGTCTTTTTATTCTATATCTTATTATTAAGAGCTTATATCTTATTACTAAGAGCTGGTGTTTCACATGTGGTCCCATATAAATTTGATCGAGGTCAGACCAATAGTTTTTGAGTCATCCTTAATTATTTATATTAAAGTCGGTTGTACAAAATTTTTAATTATTATCGTAGTAAGTCTTGTATGATATCCCCTTTAAAATCATTACTCAAGAGTTGCGGGTTGTTATTTTTTGTGTCTGACTACCAATGCTTTTCTAATATTTACTAAGAAAAAAGTAGTAAATTACTATTAGCGTCCTTTCAACTTCAAATGACCTTTCCAAAATATGTAAAAATGTTAAATGAATGGCAGTTTTTTTTATTTATTAGGTTGGGAAGACGCAAATAGTTATATGCGTCTTTCCTTCGATGTTTTTGTGTTGCCAGGTGTATTTTTTAATCTAAGATGAAAAGGAAAATTCGTTTTATTTAAATAAATAAACAAATTATCAAAAAATAAGTTCGTCCTTAAAATCTTCATGTCTCTACGTACATATTTCAATTTTCATATAGATACCTTTTAATATACTTTAGACACGGGGTCTGAAAGAAAAATTCATAAATTTATTTTTTATTTCCATTTTACGTTTTTGTTAGTTGCGTACTTCTTTATTTCGTATGACGGCAGAATGTAACCCGGCCGGCTCATGTCGCCTCGCAGAATGTAACCCGGCCGGCTCGTGTCGTCACGCTGTGACGCAGTAGGTTTCCGTTTATTCGTCGGGGTTCGTTATTAATTGTAGTTTTTGAAACAGTTCCGTGTTGATTTTGTACACGCGTGCGCGAGCGACAGTTCAATCGTTTTGTTTAATAAATTTACTTGTGATTACGTGTTGATATTAAAGTTTTTGTTACGTTTTTGGATTCTTTTTTGTTTTAATAATGCCTAACGCGTACGTTTATAGTGGTCAACATGTTAGGTATCCGAACCTAGGTACACGAAGTATCGCTAAATAAATTGTTAAGACGTCGGGATCGTACAAGTGTGTCATACTGTACAGTGCACAAAGTGTTGAAGCGTAACCAATGCGCCCATACAAATTGCACAAAGTGCAAGCTTTAGTTCCCGGCGATCACGACCGCCGACGAGTTTTCTGCCGTTGGTTATTATACCAGCAACAACGTGTGCCTGGTTCCATTGAGCACATTATCTGGACGGATGAGTCGACATTTACCAGAAACGGCCTGTGGAACCGAAGAAATACACACGTGTATTCAGAGGTTAACCCGCACGCTGTTCGACAAACCGGGCACCAAACCCGATGGTCGGTTAACGTATGGGCAGGTTTATTTAAGGATCGCATACTGGGACCAGTGTTTCTGACAGAGCGACTGAACGGACAGCGATACCTAAACTTTATAAATGAACAGTTGGTTGACATTTTAAACGACCTATCGTTGGCTGAATATCGCCGCACATGGTTCCAACATGATGGTGCCCCTCCACATTTCGTGAGGTTCGTCCGTGAGCGCCTCAATGAGTTATTTGATGATCGCTGGATCGGCAGACTAGGACCACACGCTTGGCCACCTCGCTCACCAGATCTGACTCCGTTAGACTTCTTTTTGTGGGGTATGTAAAAGAAAGGGTTTTTAATCGTGAATGTGATAGTGCTGAAGAAATGCGCCAAAGGATCGTGGATGGTTTCGAGAAACTACGTACGGACTGTGTCGAAGACCACACGATGATGCCCCGCCTGCACCCAAATCTACCTTGAAATGAATGGAGCACAATTTGAGCCGCATCTCATAAGACCACGGAGGATTTAGAGCGGTAAGCTGTTTCATACCTATTTTTTTTTAAATAACTTAGTACTAGACTAATCTGAATAGGTACATAACTGAATACATGAGAATAATAAACATACACGATGAATAAAAACTCATGACTCCAACTTTGGTTACATTTCATTTAAGTATTTTTTCATTAGCGGGGAATCGAACCAGTTATTTGGGTTATTTAACCTGTAAATTCGGATTAAAGTGGCTAAGTGGAGACAAGCACAGTGGCAAAATAGTAGGTTAAGTAGATAAGTAAGGTATTTAGACAAGTGTTGTAAATTATTAGATATTGTGGTTTGGCCCGCTAGTTGCGGGCCGCGCGAATTTGCGTTCGCGCGTACATTGACCTTTCAGTCAGGTGATATAAATTCAGTCATTCCACTGCTGGTTTTATGTTTCAGTATTTTCATGATATATTTTATGAAATTATCGTTTCATTTAGCTGTACTAACATGATGGCGCGTGAATAAAGCTAATAAAACGGTGTAAAAAGTTGATTTTTTTTTCATCAGGATCGAATTTATTTGTGACCCATGATCAAAGGTGTACTTGGTGTTGTCGCCTGTCTTAGTTTTCGGGAGCGTTCCAAAAATACCCTGTATATATATGCTGCTTTGTGAAACGAGACATTTCTCAGTTCTTTTGTTATTTATTATATAGTTAAATTATATATTTTTTTGTAATCGATATCAATGGCTAACACCAAAATATTGCCTTATGTTTTAGTTCACGCGTTACTCTAAAAAAATACAAAATGCCTGTTTATCTACAAAATTCGTAAATGCATGTAACTAAATGACGATACAATAGTTATGGGATGTATCTAAGTGACCTTTATCCGAACGTTAAATGTGAATAGCGTTTATTGGTTTCGGTGCGAGAAGTTATCGAATCTGAGTCGATTTCGCTTTCCGAGACGATTGTGAATAGCCCGGCTGGACTTGGAAAGGACCACGCTCGCACATAACACCATTGTGAAATAAAAGCAAAGTACTGCTGTTTTGGAACGAGGGAATGACGATTACCGAAGACCGTTTTGGTAACGAGACATCTTATCTTAGTTATCAGGGGTAATAACACATCTGCATTTCGATTTTTAATGAAGGATAGTTGTAGGTGTCTATGGGTCACAGTGTCCACTCACCATCAGGTGAACTGTGCACTCATCTGTTATCCTTCTTTTCTTAAAATAATTATTATTCAAGTTGACGCATTCAGTAGTAGATTAAAAATGAAAGGAACTTAAATTTTGTGAAGTATCTATTTCACGCATACGAGTATATGTAAATATCACTCACGAAATCATTAAATCTTAGAAGTACTAGTAAAATAAAAAGTCTAAGCCAACGATTTATTTATATATAATAACATACCATCACAACATGAGGAATGTGCAGGTGGGGCAGCGTCATCATCATGACGTGCTAAGGCTCTTAATTGAAGGGTGTATGCTCTTGATCCAGCTCCTGTGATTCCAGGGCCACCAGCAAATGTGGCGTATGGACTTATTTCATAAACATCTAAATGAAGGGGTTAAACATTTTAAAATCGTAAAACTATACTGCTTTTGTTTTTATGTATTTTATTTAAGTAAAACAATTTACATTTTGTATTTCATTTAAAATGAATTTGAAGTGTTAACATGACTAGACTAAAATAGAATAAAATATTTATATATGTTTAAAATAATGTATCATGATATATATTAAGAAATAAAGATATTACCTGGTGGATCCGGAAGCAACTTAGGTGTCGGATGAGGTGGCTCACCGTATGTACCGCAGGGTGTTTTATCAGCGTTGGTTGCTATTCGCGCTACTACACCATCACTTCTATGTCGCAAACAGAAATTTTCAGTTTTAGAATAATACATTTTTTTATAGGATCGGGTGACAAATGAGCACATAGTCCACCTGATGGTGGAGTGGTTGCTATGGCCCATATACATCTACATTTATCCTTGTTTGCGAATCAAAATGCAGATGCGTTGTCACCCGTGAGAACTAAGATGGAATGCCTCTTTTGCAGTAAAAAGGCTCTCCGGTTCTCTACACTCACTATACGAAACACAGCAGTGGCTGCTATTTTACGCTGGTATTCTGTGAGAGCGTGGTCCTTCCCCGGTCGAGCAGACCCATTCGTGCTACAACTATACTACATAGTATAGCTGCAGCATGGCTCTACCACGTTTAAAATAATTACTCGATTAATTAAAATAATATAAAGTACTACATGACAAACTATTTAAACCAACATTTATTCGAAATAATTTTATGCATTCTTGCATAATAAAATATTTGTTATCTTAGGAATGAGTCTAGGTGCATGCATACATTTTTTTAACTTACAAGTGTTTAGTTGTATGTGAAATTTCTATGGAAATGTAAAGATTTTTAAATTTTCTCACTTACGGTCCGACTTATAATCTTAGACAATCGATTACTTAAATTATGTATTAATTATCTTTAAATTTCTATAAATTGCCATTTAGTGAAATAAGGGAGAGAGATTGAGAGAGGAAAAAAAATTCAGACTAAAAATTTCACACCATTTTTTAAAAATAAATTAACTAATATAGTCATAATTTTCTCTACTATTAAACTACATTATTTTCTCCATCAAAATCACATCAAAACAAAATACATTGTTATTGTAGGTTGTGTTATATTGGGTTTTTATACTTTCATCATTCTAGTAAGGTACTTATTTATAATTTACCTCTTACGTCTCAACAGAATAGCCAGTATAGTTAACGCAGCTAGAGAGAGAGCTGCACACAATGCCAGTAATACTGCTAACTCTCCTGCTGTGGCAGGAAATGGAGCATCAACTTCTTCAGCGAAGCTTCCCTCGAGTGGTAATGTAGTAAATTCGTACACTTCTCGCGTCAATCCTGCTTCATTTGATGACCGAGCTACTACGCGATATCTTGCACCTGGTGTTAATCCTATAAAGTAAAAGCACCGTTATGTATTGATGTTGATTCACACAGCGAAAACGTTCACGTAATCTAAACTTATCAACTATACAGAAGTTAGAAGTTAGAAGTTAGAAGTACAGAAATAGTATACAATATTTCGAAAACTGATAACAATTCTTACCGCTTAAAATAACTTCTCCTCCAACTGGCACATCTCTTGCTCCTATTGCGCCAGGGCCGGCCCATTCTAGTTTTAACGCAACTGGTCCACATCCTCCATCTGACCACATACTAGTATCAAATTTGGCATGTGTTGCATTTGCTCTAATCCACCTGTTGTCAGGTGGTGCAGATGGTGGCCCGCCAGAAGTTCTCACAGCTATCTCAGTTCCAGGAGCACCACCAGCCGAACCATATACCCGATACGCTGAGCCACATCGTAACCCACTTAAAGTGGCTGGACCTGGATTTGCAGGTTGTACTCGCCATTCTCCCTAAAAAAAAACATTTTAGCATAAAAATAAACTTCCTTGTCACAGCAAAAAGTTTTGTTTATTTATTTACCTCTGGTGCAGCAAGCCTCCAGTGCAGTGTGTAAGCTTTAGGAAGCGCATGTCCAGGTGCTCTTGGAGTGGGTCTAACATCAAGTTCAAGTTCTCTAGATCTTGCTTCTAATAAAGCTAAGCTCGGTGGTGCTGGTGGGCGTAATACAATGACCCGCCAGGTCACAGAATCTGAACCGTGTGGATTTTCAGCAACGCATGTGTAATTATCAGCATGTGACAATTCTAAGCCTAAAATGAAAGTGAAAATTCAAGAGCCAAATAAATAACTTTATATTTGATAAAATACTGTTATATGCAGTAACAGTACCTTTTATTAGAAGCGCATCTCCTTCCAAGTGGAATGGTGGAATAGGATGAAGAAGATTACCAGCACGAAGCCAACGTTTGGCTGGTGGTGGTACACCTCCAACAACACACCGTAAGGATAGTGAACTTCCAGATGATTCCATAGCTAAGCCCCCAAAGGATGATATTCGAGCTGGCGCTAAAATATTTTTGTATAGTAAAAGTTTCTTATTATTATTATCATCTACGTTCAAATATGTTTAAACTTACCTAATGCACTTGTTTGGCAAGCGACTACTGTTGACGGAGGCCCTTCGCCAGCACTCGTAGCAGCTCTAACCCATGCCTCATAGGTTCTACCTGGACGAAGTCCTCGCAATGGCTTCATACACTCCTCCCCTTCTATACATGCGTTTATCCTAGACACATTCGGTTCTTGTGTTCTACAAAAAATATATTTCATGCTGGGTTAGCTTCCAGAACATAACCTTAACCAATTCACCTAGAGTTTCATGAAATTATTTTAAAAACCTTTTTAGCACATACAAGCGTATTAACTATTAAACGTACCCTGATAAGTCTTTGACATAAAGAGTGTAATGAGTCAGTTTCCCATTTGGTTGTGAAGGTGGCAACCATGATGCTCTTAATGATCGCTCGCTCAGTGCTATAAGTTTCATACCTCCAGGTGCACTTGGAACTGTAAATGAAAATTTTAGAATCGTAAACGTTGTATACATTAACGCACACTTAAAATATATATAGGTACAAACTCTCACTCTACATACCGTCTTCGTCGGTACGGCAAAACTGCGGAGCCGATAATGGACCATCTCCCGCGGCGTTATGTGCGCGAACTCTTATTTCATATTCCGCATATGGTGTTAAACGAGACACTATTGTGTCTTCACCCTAAAAATATTACAAAGAAATGAAATGACATCAACAAGTTATTGCATATTCTTATGGAAATACGAAACAATGATATCAAACGTCTCATTTCAGAGATTCTTTTAGTGAGCCAAAATTAAATAATGAGTTAATAAAAGTTATTTAATCCTAAAGCTTTATTGATTTTCTATCCTATTTATAAAATTTCACAAAATATTAAAAGCTTATCGTTATATAATACTAATAAGTTAGATGGCCTACCGTCCCAGATTATGTAAGACAGTTTTGCTATAGCAATTGTAAAACTGTTGTGTATTCATCATCATCATCATTACAGCCCTTCACAAGTCTACTGCTGAATATAGGCCTCCCCCAAGAAATGCCACAATGCACGGTCGCGAGCCACCTGTATCCATCGACTTCCTGCATATCTTACCAGGTCCTCACTCCATCGCCACTTCGCCTATCGGTACGAGGCTGCCACTCAAGAACCTGTCTTTCCCAACGGTTGTCGGTTCTTCGAGCTATATGGCCGGCCCACTGCCACTTCAGCTTACTAATCCGTTGGGCTATGTTGGTCACTCTGGTTCTATTGCGGATATCCTCATTTCTAAGTTTATCACGCAGAGAAACTACGAGCATAGCCCTCTCCAAAGCTCGCTGTGTGACCTTGAGCTTCCTCATACGGCCAGCAGTGAAGGACCACGTCTCAGATCCGTAAGTCATCACTGGCAACACGCACTGGTTGTACAATTTCGTTTTAAGGTTTTGAGGAATGTCTGACGAGAAGATGTGTCGTAGTTTCCCGGACACTGCCCAGCCGAGTTGAATCCGTCGATTGACCTCTCGGTCGAAGTTGGACTTACCTAGTCGGACTATTTGTCCCATGTAAACATACTCGTCAACAACTTCGAGCTTAGTGCTCCCAACAACAACCGGCATAGATGTGACATAGACATTGAACATGATCTTTGTTTTGTCCATGTTCATCTTAAGACCTATCCGTTGGGAGATACTATTGAGGTCATTGAGCATAATGCTTAGCTCCTCCAGTGATTCTGCCATAAGGACTATATCGTCGGCAAATCGAAGGTGAGTGATGTACTCGCCATTCATGTTAATATGCGGTATTAATCCTTTTGAGTAAAGTTGCTTGAAAACGTCTTCCAATGCAGCGGTGAAGAGTTTCGGGGATATAACGTCACCCTGTCTTACACCTCTCTGCAGTTGGATAGGTTTCGTACTCTGATTCTGTACTCGGATAGCCATCGTAGCTCTACTGTATAAACACTTCAGCACTTCGATATACCGACAGCCAACGTGGCACCGCTGAAGGGACTGCAGCACCGCCAAAATTTCGATGGAATCAAAGGCTTTCTCATAGTCCACATACGCCAGACATAGTGGCAAATTGTACTCTTCGGACTTTATATTGTGTTTATATTGTATGTTGTGTATTAATTAATATTATTTATTTCTTTATTTTTTAAGTATAATAAATATTGCTAGCCTCGCACTGGCATAGCACCACTGCTGAACATAGGCCTCACGCAAGGCTTGACTGAAAAGAGGGAGGGCTGGAGGGCGAGAGGGAGAGTTGGAGGGCATTCCCATTCTTGAATTACCGGTATTTTTTTATAAAACTAAAGTAACAAACTAACTAACCGTATACCTGATAGTAAGTGACTGTTGCAGTTCATGGATACATTCAAATAACTTCGAAAAAACTGGCCAAGGGCGTGCCGGGCCACATACAATATACAAGTTGGGTTCCGTAGTTGCCAGTCATAATACGTGGGATTTCTTGATAATGAGCATAATAAGTGAGTCGCGGTTTGACCGCTACAACGACTAAAAATAGGCCTACGATGGTAACTGAAGGACTTATTTTCAAATCAGGTTTATATGGAGTAGTATTCAAAAAAGGTTTAAAAACTTTTCAATTCTGAAAATAATACAATCTACATCAAATCATTCACAAGCCAAGTCCGTACAAAGATGGTCATAGTTGGACCATCTTTGTACGGACTTGGTTTGAATACTATCTATATATTCTTGGCAGTGCACCCTAAGATATATATGAGCCTAAAGAACCTTCCCGTAAACCATGACTGCCCCAAAATTTCGTGAGGGTTTCCCGCGTAAACCAAGAGTACCACGAATGAAACTGTATGATGCTATATGATTGTTTTTTTTTATAGGAGAGGGGGCAAACGAGCATGCGGCTCACCTGATGGTAAGTGACTACCGCCGCCCATGAACAACTGCAACACTAGGGAGGGAATTGGAGATGCGTTGCCGGCCTTTTAAAATGGAGTACGCTCTTTTCTTTAAGGTCCCTAAGTCGTATCGGTCCGGAAAAATCGCTGATGGTAATCGATTCCACAAGGAAGTCGTGCGACGAAGAAAACATCTTCTAAATCGCACAGTGGTGGACCGCCAATCATCCAGACGGTGTGTCGGGAGTTCTGCCGCTATGTGCGTTCGTGAAATTTGGCGGCTGGGATTAATCCGAACAATTCCTCAGAGCACTCCCCATGGTAGATGCGAAAGAAAATGCAAAGAGATGCAACATCTCTTCGCAGTGCCAATGAATCGAGCCGATCGGAAAAGACTCGGTCGTTGACGTTTCGAGCCCTTCTGCGCTGGATCCGGTCAAGTGGAAGGAGCTGGCACTGAGGAGCCCCTGCCCAGAGATGGGAACAGTTTTCCATGTGAGGCCGAACCTGCGCCTTGTAAAGTTGCAGGCGGTGTGCCGGCATGAAATACTGTCCCTCTCTGCTGAGAACGCCAAGCCTTTTAGAGGCCAATTTGGTCTTCTCTTCCAAGTGACCACGAAACTGCACGTCACTCGATATATCGACTCCGAGGATTCCGATACTGGCTGAAGCAAGAAGGGGAGTGCCTTGAAACTGAGGAGATACGACAAGGGGGTTCCTTTTAGCGGTAAACGCGCAAACTTGTGTATTCTGAGGATTAAACTGGACTAGATTTAGTCGCCCTCAATCGGAGACTTTGTTCAGCAAAGACTCGACTTCAGACACAAGTTTGTTCCGGTACTCAGCGACGTTTTCCCGAGAAATATTGGCACGGCCAGTGTATAGAGCATCACCAGTGCTGTCATCCGCATACCAATGAATGTTACCAGTTAGCAACATATCATTGATATGCAGAAGAAACAGCGTTGGTGATAGCACACAGCCTTGTGGAACACCAGGGTTAATAGGCTTGTAGTCAGAGCATGCACCGTCTACAACGACCTTGATGCTCCGATCTGCAAGGAAGCTGGTGATCCAATTGCACAATTTCTCGGGAAGCCTATAGGAAGGGAGCTTTGAAAGAAGCGCTTTGTGCCAAACCCGATCGAAGGCCTTCGCAATGTCCAAACTAACGGCCAACGCATGAATTGTATGAATAATTTGAATGAACCCACTTAAAAATAAACGAAAGTAATAAGTAAGATCTACCCTGCCCATCTCGCATAGGAAAAAGTAAAGATATAGTAGTAATGCATGTCAGTCGTTTTCTTCATAAAATGTTTATTTCTTAAAGTTTACAATAACATTACAAAGTTATAATGCAGCTGGTTTTAGATCATTTTCTATGGAGTTGTAACGAAATTTTTACTAATTCAAATGCATTTTATAATTTGGCCGATTATTACTCATTCACTTGTTAATTCTACTTAGCTGTGATACTTTTCCTTTTAATTTCATTATATATACTACTATCGTGTATACTTTTCACATTTTCAAAAATAGCGGTTTAATTCATAGAGGGGGGGAAACATGACTCTAATGAAAAATACGACTTTAAAAGCTAAATATTTCGCAAACGGAGCCCTAAATCGAAAAGATGTTATTCCACATCCCCAATATTTTTGAAAGACCTATCCAACAATACCCCAAACGATGAAATAGACGGGTAAAAAAAAACCATCCTACAATTACTTGTATCTATGGGAATTACCCAAAATATAAATATTTTTTTAAGATTTTATTTCACAGTTTTCTAGTCGTGATTAATACCTATAACTATGCCACATTACAGATTTGTAGTACGTAGGGTATCTTAGCATAACCGCAGACGGACGTACACACGGACATGGCGAAACTATAAAGGTTCCTTGTTGTTTAATTACGGAACCCTAAAAAGAAGCCTGCGGATGCATTGTCATCCCTAAAGTCTATTTTTTGAACTGACTATTGGTTGAAATGCTCACAACCTGTAATAATATTGGCTTTCTTTACCCTTTGCAACGGAATACACTAATGAAAGCATTGCTATTCGGCGGCAAACATAACTAAGTGATTGGTACCTTCCTAGACGGGCTTTTAGGCAGAAAAGGAGCACCGTTCTTTTCCATTGATTGTCGGTTCTTCGATCTATATGGTCGGGCCATTACCACTTTCGCTTACTGAACCGTTATGCTGTGTCCGTTACTTTAGTTATATTGCGGATATTTTAATAACATTACAATCATTTTGCCCAGAAAAACTACAAGCAATGACCTCTTCATAGCGCGCTGAATACTAAAAAGCTTCTTCATACGGCCAGCAGTGAACGACCACGTCTGAAATGACTTTACGCCATCAGTCTATCATCAGATTCTCGTCCATCAAACAGAGCACACGATATTCACTTGGCTCAGTGAGGCAAGAAAACATTTGTACCTTTTGCCCCTTAGTAATTTCAAAATAATTTTTTTTTTCAAATAAATTACACCTTCCAAAATATTAACTACAAACCTGAATTCTCAAATAGGCGTCTTGTGGTGGCAAGAGTGGATCAGAATCACGTCTTGTATATTGTAATGTGTAATGTGTTATAACGCCTCCTCTCGCCTCTAACGCTGGTGGATGCCACGATACTCGAAGAGAAGTTGACCCACTTGATATGCATGGTAGCAGTTCAGGACTTCCATTTGGAGCTATAGAATAAAAGAAATAGATATCCTAATAAATAAAATGACTTGCAATGTCATTCTTTAGATGGCGGAATAATCAACCATTTTAGACCAAACTAACGACCAACCTAAGGCATCTAAACCAGAAAAGGTAGGCTAAAACATTTTTCTTTTGTTTTTGTTTGTGGAAAAAAACGTTGGACCACTCTAAAAGGTACTCTTAATTCGAGGAAACAGTTGCTTGTAATCGCAGTTATTAAGGCGGGAGGTGAATTTCCGCGTGTATTATTAAAACTTCGTTGGCCTTCAAAAATAATCGTTTGACAACTGGGCGTCTTTCTATAATATGCAGTTCATATACGTAAAAGGCCTCCACGATACAAGAAATATTCCTAAAGAGATATGAGATGAAATGAGATTCCAAAAATGAGATAATAAAGTCGTACATTATAAGTGAAACATTGTTAATCGTACAAATCTCTTTAAAAAATATCTATAGGTAGTTATCATTAGTATGGATAAAACTCGAAACTGGCTTGGTCTTAATAATATAACAGTTATTTTAATGCATTAAATGCACTATGTGTTTACTTATTACAGACTAAGTCTATGAAAATTTTGATTTGTTTAAGTAACATTGCTTCATCATTATCAGCCCATGAAATTCTTTTGCAGCACATAAACCTCTCCCATTTTAAGGAAGACTTGATGTAATAGTCACGCTTGGCAACCGAATTAATGAATGCAATACATTACGAACATTTGCTGCTAATACTGAACATCGCGTTGTTACGTCTGGAATAAACGTAAAGGTTAATCATGAGATTTTTCTACCACTCCCCATAATCGCCTTTTATGCCATTCAGAAGTGAACAAACCTCACGGGATGTAATATGTATAAATAAATAAGTTTTTATACGTATGTAGCAATAAACGAATTTAAAATTAAATTTTATTTGGTAACCGTAAACTCTCACCGGAATGAAATCATAACAGTGACCAACAACGTAGTACTATTCTTTATTCTGTGCCAACAGTGTGACGTATTTAGTATTTAAAGAAAACAATGTCCAATCCAAAATGCAATATAATGGCATAACAAAAAAAAAACATCATACTATAACAAAAAACAATACTGTCGTGAATCACTCCTAGCACAAGGATTAGAAGTTTACCAGGAGTAGTTAAAGGGAATATTAGTAGTGTTTGTAGCGCTGCTTTCATTATAAAAAAACATATCAATGCATTTGAAAATGTCATTGTTATATAAAATACATGTTTTTACAACAATTTACTTTCAAATTTAGCAAATTTTTTAAAATCTGGCAGCACCGTCGTCGGCGACGATAGCGATCTTTGAAGGTGTAGCGAAATGTCACCTGATTGCTGCCCTGCATATTGTAATACCAATGTAAGTTTCCCCGTTTATTTAAAATTTACTTTTTTTATGAGGTATTTTTTTTATTTTTTAAAAAGGATTTATATTAAGATACCAAAAATTACTCTCACGGATCGGAGAGAGTTAATTTTACATATTGAATAGGTTGCTAGTGCTTTAATTATTAGAGACAGTAAAAAAATTTATACTCACGTGATTCAATTGTGTGACGATAATGTGGTGGTGACAAAGGTCCTGTACCTGCTGCGTTATAAGCCCTAATTGTCACACCATATCTTGTTGCTGCTTTAAGGCCTCTCAAAGTTGTGCTAGTTGCATCGGCGCTGGCGCCACTTTCTGACCCAGAATTTTCAACGATTGTTCCTTTACCTTCTTCAGATACTTCCCACCATCGTATTGTATAACCCAGTAAAGTACCATGCCAAGTTTCCTTTGGTGGTGGCTATCGTAATAATTAACATGTCATTTTAAAATAAAACATATTTAAAAACACATATAGTTTTTTTTTTCAGATATAAAAGGTTGTTTGATTTTAATTTTAATTACTTTACGTAGGAAAGGTCTTAGCTACATGTCTTATGATGGCATAAGTTTTAAAATGATTTTTAATTAACACTATAACGCATAAACTAAGCGAATACAAATAGATTGTTATTTTATTTAATAACACAAAACATTTTAAATTTACGGCTAGAGCTCGCTATTATGAAAATACCTATATAAAAATCCATAAAAAATATAATGATTACCTGCCAAGTGACAAGCAACTCTCGAGCACGGAGAGCTCTGACTATTATATCACGTGGAACTCCTCCAGGCGCTATCAATGAACAAAAATATTTTTAATTGTAAGTAATCTTTTGAGAAAACGGACTTGATTTATGTAATTTTAAAATTTATTTTAAAGGCTTGTTTAAAATAAAAATCATATTAACTTAACCTAAAACCATAAAAGTACAAATCGATCATCGCTTAACACTTACCTGCTATATTTTAATATTTGTTGATGTTTAATTTATAATCTTTCTAAATAAAATAAAAGCACAAAATATATTAAAGTGCTCAGTTTATATAAATACCTTCTTCCCGGGTAGTGAAATGGAGCGGGGGCGTGTAAGGCGACGCGCCGACGTCGTTATAAGCAGCGAGCCTGAGTACATATCGTGTGTCAGGAGCTAATCCTGTCACCAAAGCCCCGGCGCGACCCGGCCCTTCCGATCTGAATGGTCAATAGGCTTAAATTATAATCCTATTGTAATGGAAAATCGGAATGAAATCGGAAATTTTACCCAAATATAAACCTTAACACATTTAATTTAGTATCAAATTGAGTTGTGACCGTATACTACACATAAATACGATATACATTCAAATATACTTACTCAAATGTAGTGTAGAAAAAAATATAACGATTATTTAACAAGCATTAAGTTATGATAAGGGTGAAATGTGTAAGATCGTTAATTATTATAGACTCTGCGTTAATAATATATTTTTGGAACGAAGTTCCTTATCGGACGGTATGGGTTTAGCAAATGGGAGCTAGGCGACAAAAAGTGTAAGATTTTTTCGTCACTACCCCTTGTGTCATAGTGTATTTTATTTTAAATGATGCTTCATTTTAATAGACTCTAGTAATACATAATTTATTTGTATTTGTTAATCAATAATACGATACGTCTATCAATAATAAGGAACTTCGTTCCAACCGAGTTTTTTTGTTGAACGTATTTTTATTATGCCATCTGTGTGGATATAAATGTAAGCACTACTAGTAGAGTACTATCAGAAGTTGTTTCGATTGTGTTATAAAAGGCAGAATGTGAATGTGTATGTGTGTGTGTGTGTGTTTGTGTGTGTGTGTTTGTATGTGTGCAACGTTTATATTTATGTATCGCACATTTAAAACCTATTTTATTGACTAATTAATATAAGTATACTTACGCAACGTGTAACAGATCAGAATTAGCCAACGTAACATTAACAACTTCATGTGTATCCCATGAGCTTATTAAAGAAGATAATGGAACGCTCAACGCAACGTCGGCAATGTCGAGCGTCAATACACGATATTGCAAAGTATAATGTGATACAATAACTCCTCTTGCTGCCCTCCATGTCACGCGAGCCTTTCTCGACCATAATTCAGAAATACGAACTTCCTCGGGGATGTTAGGGCGTTCTGTTTTCACAGAAAATATTATGTAGTAAATTAAATAAACAAGGAGTAAATAATTGAAATTATTAAGGTTTGAAATGTATGAGAAAAAACCAGCATAATAATAGTCTGTGGGGATAAAAGACTACCTTTTTTTAATCACAAAAAATTGAAGTAAAGTAAAGTCAAGTTGTCCTTGATTTGTAGGAAGTAGCACTGTTAGCATGTTTGTTGCCCTTTTAACTTCATAAATATCATAAAGAATGCTTAACTTATCTGTAAAAGTTTAGTGTGAGTAAGTAGAAGAAACTTGTATTTTTTACCTTTTACGAATAATCGAAAAGAGAGTTCATCATTTCCGTATAAATTCCTGGCTAGGCATTTATAATCGCCAGCATGTTCCGGTCCTGCGTGTGAAATTGTTATTTCAGACGTTTTAATTCCGTTTCCTATGTCCTTTGTTTCGACACCACCTGAACCGCTACCGATAAAAGTACATAGTTTAAGGCATTTAAACAAAGTGCACAAACCAGTTTATGTCAAAATTAATTCATGAAAAACGTTTAAAAATATTTTGATGAAACTGAGAACTATGATTGACTGAAAAGTGATATTCGGTACTAAAAATGTAAACTAAGAAAAATTTAAGTTTAAAATGCCTTAGATCCATTAAATTAGAATTTTTAAGACATTAGATAGAAAGCATAAATAATAATAACTGGAAAACTTTAATATTATTTAAAACAACAAGTAAAAATGTTAACTTGATGTATTAAACATAAAATTATAATAATACTTATACGCAACGCAATGTACTGAATTATCCACATCATAGCCCAATGCTAATGGGCCTCCTCCATAGATTACTTTATTGGCAACGGCAGCTTTTTATATTTTAGTTGCTTAGGGATACGCTGCTGCCCATCTCCTGGTTTCTTTCTTCTGTGTCCTCCGTTTCTGGTACCTCTGTCGCCTCTTAGACACCCACGGGTCGATATGTGATAATGAATATTCTTACATCGCCACTACACGGTGAAGTATATATACAAGCATGTATATCATGTAATTACAGATAAAGGTAGAGTCTATTATTAATTTATCAACTAACATTTCCGGACTCTATCTTGTAGTAATTAGGGGATAAATTTAATACTTACTGCAGTGAAAGCGGACGCGAGTCATGTGTCCAGTGTAAATGAATTTCTGGTTCCCCTCTGACCGTGCAAATAAGACGTGCGGTTGATCCTCTAACTACCCATCTTGTTTCTCCGCCACCATCTCCTCTACTCAATTTAGGGGGCTCTGTTGGGAAAAATGCTTATATTAACAAAGTTAAATCTTTTAATTCTACCAGAGAGTAGATTTTGTTGTTTTAAAATTAAAGTAATTTAAAATATTTAAAAAAACATTGATTTGCCATTTGGTGTGGGCAAGAGAAAATCGATCCAGATATTTGGTGTTTACCATCTTATACTCATATGTTATAAGCTCAGTGAGAATCTCATGTTTAGTATTGGAATTTCAACACACATTGCTTGTATATGACAACACTTATATTATTAATTGTTGTATAATCTTTATTTTCAAAAATGGATCTTCACGCATAGTTTTCTTAAAAAAATTTATATACTACGCTAAGCAGTCAGTGAAAGTAGTACGATGATTCACTGTTAAAAAATGAGTAAATTGCCCATTTTTTGACTCAGCATCTGTGTAGGCTGCAGAGTCTAAACGCTCGCACTGTTAATTCTGCTCTCCATCGTTTTTACTTTTACTCTGCTCTTCGTCGTTACTAACATGAGATTGAAATATGTTTGCTAGATTTAAAAAAGTAGATAAATAATTTAATAAATTGTTTACTGCTTGGCTCAGGTCACTCTTATCTTTGAGAAGGGCTTGACACATTTAGTCTACTACGGTCTAAATGTTGGATGCAGACATGCATGCATGCACTTAGCAATTTCATTATTAACTGAAGATAAGGTATTAAATAAAAATAACAATGATTGTACTGTACCTCTAACGTCAAGGTAAAAGGAATGATGAAGAAAAGAGTGTTGAACTCGGGCCGTGCAACGATACCATCCTTCATGATTTGAAGTAACTGCCCTTAGCCAAATAGTTCCGTCTAATAGAACTGATCCTTCTCCAGATTCAGGTGAATCCGATTGTCCCCATAAAATATGATGCCAATTATTTCCACCTATAAACCAGTTAAATTTAGTACATAAAATTTTGATCCTTATCCCTTAAATTTAAGTTACACAAAATATTACCTGAGGAAAATTCCCAAGATATTCTTGGCAAGGGTTGACCTTTAGCCGAACATGGTAAGAGTACTGCTGCCCCAACAGACACTGATGTATTTTGAGCTCGCCAAATCCAGGACGGTGATTCTATGCGTAAAAACTGTTTTAATTGATAGGATATTCCATTCTTACTTTCCAAACATAAAATAATGTATTTATACCAAATAAAATACTAAAAGAAAATGAGTACCTTTTACAATCAATGGTGCTGTATGGCTAATTGTTCCAAAGTCATTCGTTGCTCTGCAAGAATATTCACCAGTATGTGCAGAAGAAAGATTATGTATTACCAAAATAGAGAAAAAGTCCATGTTTTTTTGTTCAACCTAAAAATAATTATTATTATTGACAACAATTGTGCCCAACAATTCAATTATTTATATTACAATACTCAATACCTTTAATACTGATGGTATAGGCAAGTTGTCTTTATGCCATGAAAATAGTATCGGTTTGTCTCCAGAAACCAAACTACATGTTGCTTGTGTACTTCCCCCTACTTCCAATTCCTCAGGAAAGTGAAATGGCATTATTTTTGGTGGTTCTGTTGGAATTAAAAAGATTGTTATACTAATGTTCGGATTTCAACGTTAACTATATCCATATTTTACTTACTGTGTACTTCGACACGAACTGTCCTTTTTGCTAATTCCCCACTTTCAGCTCTGACCTCACATATATAATTTCCTGCATCGGTACTTCTTACCGAGTTTAGTCTTAGTATACCAAGTTCTTCATTGGATTCAAGACCGCTTTTAATCGCTGAACCATCTTCGCGCCGCCAGATGACTTCTCTGTTATGTTTAAAATAAGGTTTTTAGAAAATAAAAATATTAACACTTAATTTAAAAACAAGTCTTATTGTTTTGTTATGTAGCACTGTGGAATGTATCAGCCTATTTCATCTCGTGGGCCTTGAACGAGACGGTTATGGGAAATACTAGAAGTATCTCATGTCTTTCTATACATGGCGGTATGGTTATCTCGTTCACATCAGTTATCAAACATCCAGACTGACAATTTATTATTTTTTATCTTAAAATATCATGTATCGTAAATTGAGTTTAGTAAAAAAATTACTCATATTTAAATCTTTACGTTGACTGATTTCATATTAAGTATTTGTAATTATGACTGTCGAATTTCCGTGTCATGCTTTCTAGCACGACCACGGAGGATTTCCTTTATTTTTTGCGGTACATATTCGCACAAAAATTGTACTTTAATGTACTTTTGAATTTAAAAGTGTTCTTTTAGTTTTAATATTCCAGCATGGAGGTGGTGATCATGCCAGGTAGGATTTTAGGACATTGAGATCAATGATGTGGAGAAAAATGAAATAAATGTACTCAAAATTTACCTTATTTTACATTAATTTTTAGCAGTTTTAAACCGATTGTTAATGAAAATATTACCATTAATAGTGAGATTTTACTCACAAGACGCCTAAAGAAGTAAAAATTCGAAAACATGAATTATACAAATAAATATTTTTTCACTTAATACTCACTTAATAGGGTATCCCGAATAAGGACAGTTCAAAGTTACGTCTGTGTTTGTTTTCACATGTACTGGCGGTAGATATCGTATATTAGGGGGACCTAAAATCAAAAAAATTAAATAATATGAACTTTTCTTCAAGAACATATTTATTTTGGGGTTCGTAATATTTATTAAAGTTTAAAAATTATGCCAGAAATAAATAATTATATTACCAAAAATATTTAATCTTGCGTGATGCGCATGGGAGCCTCCTGAGTTCGTCGCATTACAGCCATATCTACCACCTTCATCGGCAGTTCGAATTGTGACGCTTAATGTTGACACAATAACACCGTCTTCACCGCTTGGTAGAGCTTCCGCTCTTGTGTTTACGCTGTATCTACAAATCAGTTTCTGTTTCATATAAGAAAATCTTGTAATATTAATATTAATAAATAAAAAACATACTTATCTGGTGCTGCTGGTAGAGGTCTATCGTCTAATGTCCACAATATCCTTGGCGGAGGAATGCCAGTGGCTGCACATCTTAAAACAATACTTTGGCCAATTCTAGTTACAGCTTCACTAAATGTTGAAATCAGTCTTGGTGGTCTATCTAAAATTGAATTATATATAAGATCCAGAAATTTTTAATTTTGTTTTGCACAAATCTCAAACAACAAATACCCGCTATCATTAGTTCAGCTCCTGATACTGCTGATTCTGTGTGATCAAAAGCAGTACACTGATAAAGACCAGCGTGATGTGAGCGAACAGGGCCAAGAGACAAACGAGCTTGTGGAGCATGAAGAGGACGTCCTTCATGTTGCCAACTCAAAGTTATTCCTCCACCGCGGCCTCCTTTCACTGTACAATTAAAAATACCTGTCCCACCTGTTCCCAATATCTACAAAAATAACAATTAATCTGTTTAAATATAATCATTCACAAACTTAATTATACCTAAAATATATTTAAAAACAAACACCTAGATGTTGTTTGGACCAGAATGCGAATGTTTGATCAGCTCCTAGCTACTATTATGTATTATATCTTATCAGTGTCACATAAGTATTTCAAATTCCAGCTCAATCGGATATTAGCAAGTGTTTCGAAAATTCACTACAAATTTTGAACTCTAAAGACACACAAAGAAAGCAAATTAAATAAAAGCTTGTAATATACAGTTAAATTAAATTAAAAAAAAATACTGCCCACAGGTTAGTTAACTCACTTATTATCACTCAATTTAATCACTTACCAAAGGATTAGGTGTAACAGTAACTGTTAAAGGTTCCATTACTGTTAGCCGTATTAGTAGTCTTGAAGAGGATTCAGATCCTGTTGAGCAGGCGTAACGTAGTGCGTGATGTGGCCGAACATTTGGTAGGACAAGTGTACCGCCCTTAACAATACCCTCACCAGGAGTTTGAGCTATCCATATGCCGCTCGCTTCCTGTCGCTGCCAACTGATAGTTTGAATTAATTGTGCTACACACTCTTATGTTAAAATTTTTACCTAAAATAGTGTAATTTCAAAAAATTTGCTCTATCTGCAATTGACTGACTGATATAACAAAAATATACTTACGTAATTGTATGTCCGCCAACATGTCGCATAATGCAAGGAAGTATCACAGTATCTCCAATTTGTGCTTCGATTGAATTAATTTCTTTCATTTCCAACCAGCTACTATCTATTTTCAGAACAATGAAGATTTTACGGAAATAATTATTACATTATATTTATAAATATGTAATAGTTACCAAAATTTTTAACTTACCGTCTGATGTGAGTTTTATAACAGGACTTGGAGTGTCAAGAACTAAACAAGAGTATTCCGCTTGCATATCTGCTTGAGTCAAATCAACACCTACAAGAAGTCCACCCGCGCCTGTTGTCCATCGGGAATCTATAAAGCCACTTTATATTTAAATATATTTTCTATGCAAAAATACATAAATACTAATATTATATTTTAATTCGTTAAAAGTTATACGAACAACCACAAAACAATTAATAAAAAAAATATCTTTACTGTTATATCCTATCAAAAATTCACTGTTAAAAACATAGGCCTCCCCATATATATTATAAACCCTCATAGGGATCCCCTCAATTTGTTTGTAAGGTGGGTAGCAACCGCAGTTTTTTTTTGTTATTAGGAAGACTTTGCTGCACATCACCGGGTTTGTTTTCCTCTCTTAACTCGTATACCACCCACAGGACGATATATAGTAGAGGATATTCTTACACCGCCACCATAAGACCAACAAATGGTGAAACACGAAAATAATAGATCCCAAAGGGATTCATCACCTTTTTCTTCTTTATCAGCCCTCAGATGCAAATTTGAATATGTCCAGCTGTCATCTTTGCGTAGAGAATATTTGTTATAATCACTACGCTATTCTAGATGGTCGGCAATCGCAGTACATTTTCAAAAACGTAACGGTACTCCCGCTCAACGGTCTGGGTGTTTTACGTCTGGCATAAGCGAAATGGTTATACCTCCTACTCATCTTCTGTTCCAGTTACCCTCGGTCGCCTTTTACGACACTCAAGAAACGATATGGGGTAGTGAGTATTTTAGGTAGTGTTTTATAAATGTGGAGAAATATTTTAGATTGCGATATTTATATTGTAGAGTGTCGCATGGGTAATAAAGTTGATAGGCAGAACTCTTAATGGCAAAAATCCGAGTTCTTCTTTTCAAAGGCCATGGCAGCTCAGACGATGATAATCCTTAACATGTGTAAAGTGATTTGGACTTTTTCACCAATTTCGTCAGTTAGATAAAATACCCATTTTATCGTACAAAAGCTTTTAAGTTAGATATAAATACACTTTGATATATTCCGCACAGTTTTCCCGGAAACTGAAAAGAGAATGATAGTCAACCATCACAATTTTTAATGTGAACTTACCAGTTTCAATAAAGCCCGATGAAAGGGTAAGCCCGTCTTGGATCCATTTTACTTCTATAAGACCCATTTGAGGAGATACTTCACATCGTAAGACAACAGAACCTCCAATTTCGGCGGGAGTAAGCTGTCTCACCGAATGTGATAGAACGCTGTCTTCAACTGTGGAATTAAAATGAATTACATTCGTTGTTTTCATCTAACATAGCAACTTGCATGCACTTCACAGCTGGGCATATGGTTTCTCATATTTCTTAGTGTTATGGACTAAGAGAAAATTAATTTAGTGCGAATTAGCCTTCAGTTAAAAATTTATGTTAATGCAAGTCTTTACAATGGTTGTGAATAACTAGTTTTTTTTAGGATAGTTTCATTACGTTGTGACATTAATCTAGCTCTTTTTACGTGACGCTAACAGTGCATGTTATTTTTCATTAGTAATTTAACGGGTGGAAGGGCCTGTTTGCTTAGAAGATTGTCTGGGTTGGTACTATACTACTAGGATAGCAGAAATAGTTAAGAATTTGCCAATATTTGCTGCCAAAGAGCAGCGAGAGCTGCTGTTGTGTATTGGTTTAAAGAATAAAGGGTGGTTGTCATTCAATGGTAAAACTAATGTTAAAGTGATAAAGTATATAATTTACTAAATCAGTAAAGAAAATTGCTCCGTGTTAATTGAAATAAAATTATACTATTGTCGCAAAATTCCTACAATATTGATAAAACGAAACGAAAATACAATATGTGTCGAATACGTTCTTCGAAACTAATTTGAATAAGAATAAGCCTCTTTGCGCCTCCATTTGTTGCCTTTCAATTCCTTCTTTGTAGTCGGCTCTATTGTATAGAAAATGTTAAAATATGGTAAGCAAAATCTGTACCACGACCTTAGACCGGATCAGAAAAATATCTCTCAATATAACGTACCTAAATGTACTGCATCGATATATTTCTGTATAATATGGTGAATTGTATTTGTCTATTGAAATTAATTGAATATAATATTAATTAATTTGGATAGACAAATACAATTATATATATATATATATATATATATATATATATATATATATATATATATATATATTTATATTTGTTATTTTTACATATTAAAAAAACTTCTTTGAACATTTGAAATAAAATTTTATCAAAGTTATGTACATCTCACTACTGGGCACATGCCTCTCCTCATTTCTGAGAGGTTTATGGAGTCAACAATTTTATTAAAACCGATTTGCTCCAATAAATGCTGAGCTACCACGGCTCTATAATTTGTTACGTAAATAGATAAATTGGTTCACATTAGCGTAAAGCATTACTGGTTTATTAATAGCTTTACAACCTACAACTCTGCCAAAAGAGTGTGACTAATAATCAGTATCTACGTTTTTACAAATTTTTGCTTATTTTTCTCTTTTTAAATATATATTATATTTCCTTTTAAATACATTGTTCATCAGAATATACATTACATGTGATTCTTTGTCCGATGGTGGAGGCCTGGTGACTGTAATACAGGAAATCCTAAATGTAATGATATATATATATATATATATATATATATATATATAATATGCTCAGGTACTATAATAATAATATGACTAGTAATAATAATATTTTAGAGAGAAATAAATATTATTATTATAGTATCTGAGTATATAAATATATATCTCTGGATTTCGAGGACAATGCTGTGCCGAGAAATTGGATGAAAAGTCGAACCAAAACCGCACATACCCCATCAGCCCAGCATGCTGGTTCTTCTCTTTCAAGAAGTGCTTTTTTCAAATTTGAAATTCCCGTGCCTGTTTATTATACTAGTCATCAAAAAAATCGGCCCAGCTGCGTTTTTACCGCAAATCACGTTTTTCTTAAGCGAAACCAAACAAAATGTTTTACTACATAAATGTTTGATTTAACTTGTTTATCTACACCAATTTAATCACATTTAAAATATGGAAATGATTTTTTGCAAGTAATTTTGGTTTAATAATTAAAATCCTTAATTTTACACGGTTTTTGATTAATTTTACGATATTTCGATTACACACGATCTAATTTTTATGTATTAAATGTTATGTACACAATTGTTGTTGATATATGTAACGTTAGGTTTATTTACTGAGGCTTTAGTTTAGATTATTTTATCTAAACTAATGGATACTACTGAAGCTGACGCAACAAGCTTTAGTGAACGTGTCGTGGTCAGGAGGTCAAATCTGAGCCGTTCTGCAGTGCGGCGAGAAACTGTCAGTTATGGTGGGGGCTCTGTACTGTTTTTGGCTGGGATATCTTTGACTTGACGTACGGAGCTGGTTTTCATACGAAGAGGTACTTTAACTGCAGAACGCTACAACTTTTTTTATAGAATATGGGTGACAAACGAGCACACAGTCCACCTGATGGTAAGTGGCTGCTGTGGCCCATAGACATCTACATCTATCCTCCATTACGAATCAAAATGTAGATGCGTTGTCACCCGTGAGGACTAAGATTGAAAGACTCGTTTCCAGTAAAAAGGGTCTCCGGTTTCATTACTGAGATCTTAGAAGACCATGTGATGCCATACATCTGCTATGTTGGTGAGAATTCTGAATTAATGCATGATAATGCACGACCACAGAAATAGAAACAGAAACTTTTATGTTAAATATAGGTTATAAATAATACTTATTGAAAGTCACTCTTATGTTTAATTACCACTAGTTCGAAATTAAAACCTCGGTCCTGGGAAGAACCAGCAAGAAACCCAGCGGGACTTTTTTTTTTAAATAACAGCTTACAATCATGTATTTTACACAATTAACCACACAAAACAAATTAGAAATAGCTTGGTACCGATCACCTCATTCCCAGGGGTTATTGTCATCCATAAATTCCTTAATATTATAATAACCCTTTTTAAACAAACTTTGTCTAGTGGTTAAGATCGGAATTTCAGTAAAATATTTTTCGAAAACCATTGCAACATTCTGATCTAATTCAGTTAATTTGTTGTTAAAACTTAACCGGTAGTTTTAATTGCGAGAGTTAACCTTACCAGTTTCACTATTAATTATACTCCATTTCATTTTAATTTTATTAGAAGGTGTCTTAATTTTTTTGCTCAAATGCTAAAACTAGGCTGTGGAGCACACTCTTTTAAATATATTTGAATACTCTTTTACATATTCCCTAAATTCGACGCTAGGATTACATTACCTATCATGGTAAAGTTCATATAACCTATGTCTAATCTTGTAGACTCCTATTGTCGCCCATTCATTGAATGCCTTTCGACTGTTCAAGGAGAATGATTTAGAAGTAAAAATATTATAAAACTCATTGCAAATAATCTTAAATGATGTTCCATTTTGTACACTTGCGCGTATCACCATCGATTACCTTGAATAGGTCGTCCCTATAGAGACCCCATAGAGCACATGTGTGACTCCCTGAAACTAATAGTAAGTGCCCGTATTCCTGTCTCTACAATATTAGACAACCTTGAAACCGTTATTAGGGAAGAACGAAACTGAATCCCAAAAGAGACCGTCAGAATCTTGATAAGGTCATTAAAACGGCGAATGCAGCCCGTCATTCAAGTAAGTGCAGAGAATTCGCAATATTAAATTGCAACTAATGTGTACATAACATTTAAGACATAATTTTTTTAAATCAAAATGACTTGCAAAAATAATTTTGATGTTTTAACCGTGATTGCATTGGTGTAAATAAACAAGTTAAATAAAACATTTCAGTACTAAAACCATTTTGTTTGGTTTTGCTTAAGAAAAACGTGATTTGCGGTAAAACCACAGGTGGGCCGATTATTTTGATGACTAGTTATCTATAAGTCTGTAGATGAGTCTTCCTACGCGTCTACAGCTGGGCTTCAAAGACTAACAGCATTGCTTCAATGACGCCTTTGCTTGCATAGCGCTCCTCGTTGAGTCGAGCGCACCATTTCCTCAAAGTGTAATAAAGACCCTGCCGCTTAGTTGACTTGAGCTCGAACCAGACTCACTCATGTGGACGAACGGGTCTCGTGGTTCCTTGCCCAGTGGTAATTTGTCATTCTCAGTCGAAAGATTTTGGTTATGATGACTTCCGCTTCAAGCTCCTTGCGTCCCGAGTTCTTTTGCCCTCTCGAAAGTGGCACCGCTGCGACAACCAAGTCGTCGGCCTAGTATACTGTGTCTACGCCAAGGTCGACTCACAGAACCGCATCATTTGTGCCATTCCAGAGTAAAAGAGCCAACATCGTGCCCTATGGAACCCCATGTTTGATCATCTTCTGAAATCCTTTTATCAATTTGCCAGGATGAATTGATGATGTGCGAATGCCCTCCTAATTGCACTTTCAGGCAAAATTTTAAATGTTTCGCCAATGCCACGCTACCCAGGGATATTGCCTATCTCGACAGAAAGCGGGCACCTATAATTGCATTTACAGTTTAAGGCTCACGTCATTGTCGTCCAAAGTGCTATCAGAAAAATTGAACTTACATGAGACAAATGCCCGTTGACCCAAGTGGCAACTATCCTCTGAACTGAATAAAAGCTGGCATATGCGGTTATATGCCTAATAATCTGTGGCATTGTCTTCCTTCTTTAAGAAGAATCACCTGACCTGGCTGGTAAACATCTAATTAAGCCACTACAGTCAGACTTTTTTTTAAAGAATGAAACAAACGAGTAGCACAATCTTAGTCCATCTGACGGTATGTGGATTATGTGGACCATACATCTACATCTATCCTCAGTTAGGAATCAAAATGCAAATGTATTGTGACCCCTCAGAATTACGATGGTATGCCTAGTTTCTAGTAAAAAGGGTCAGTCCTCTCATAAGAGCCTGTCATTCACCCCTGATGTTAATGTACTTAAATTATTGAGAGAGAAATTTTATTCAGCAACTATGTTTAAAAACGACTGTCAAATTATAAAGAATAATTTAAGAGATTGTGAATTGCTTGAAGGAAGAAAACGCTACGAGTAGACCTGTATTAGGATTTATAACATTAAAAAGTGTTTGGGCTTCAGATATTATTGTACAAAGAAAATTTACCTTGTTATAAACTCACTGTAATGTCATTTTTAATTCCTTAATTAAAAGTTTTACCGTGTAAAAAACGCGAGCGGTCGTTGCCTGTTTTTCATTTTTATTTCATATTTCCCTCGTTATGTAACGGAAAGTTAATTGGTTCAACTCGACTCAAAGTTGTAATTTGTTTTGCCGACTTTTTGTACATCATTTTATTACATAAGGCTTTTGTTACTGTATCGATACAATGTACCATTTCATTTGATTTTAGTGAATATAACCATTTCAATTACTTACATAACTTAACATTTAACCTGTAATTTCTCTCTATTTAATTAAGTAAGGATATACGAGCAAGGCTTCCTGGTGATAAGTGGATAACCTGGCCCATTGACTCAAATATCTATATTTTTTTTAAAGAATAAGGGTGACAAACGAGCACACATTCCACCTGATGGTAAGTGGTTGCTGTGGCCCATAGACATCTACATCTATTTTCGTTTGCGAATTTAAATGCAGATGCGTTGTCAGCCGTGAGGACTAAGATAAAATGCCTCTTTTCCAGTAAAAAGTGTCTCTGGTCCTCTACACTCACCATACGAAACACAGCAGCATTAAGCTGCTATTTTACGCTGGTATTTTATGAGAGCTTGGTCCTTCCCTGGTCGAGCCGACCCATTCATGCTACAACTCTACTATTAATATAGCTGCAGCATGGTTCTATCAAGTATAAAATATTTGATTAGGAATCGTTGTTACAAAGGAAAAGGATCTGTGGTTCTGTACATTCACCATATGAAACATAGCAACACTGTGCTACTATTTAAGCAATTGAGCCGATCGTGCCGTAATAATATTTTGAAATAAATAAGGTGTAATTTAAGAATAATAGGCTACAATAAGCAACTTTTCATGTTATGTTCAAAAGATTTTTAATTTTTGATTTATTTTTATTTTTAACTTTAGACGAGAAATCTTATCTCACACATTTACAAAAACAACTTACAACTTACATTTTTTTGATATACTTACTATTGACGACAATATATGAAAGAGTTGTAAGCGAAAAGTAGACAACAAAAGGCTACAAAAGATAGCAAAAATTAAAAGAATTATGCAGTTCATTTGAAATAATCATTAAAAAAAACTCGTGGTGTTTCAATATAAATGACATACCTGGTTGCAATATCATAGGCCTGGAGAGAGTTGTGCCCGCTTTGTTAGTTGCTTTACATCTGAGAACAGCGCTGCTACCACCGGCACCAGCGTCCACTACCGAACGACGCGCACCAACCACCAGACGTCCGTCACTTATTACATGCCTGGTAGAAGCCCGACATATTATATAAAAGAAAATACATTTTTTGTTAAAAAATTCATGCTTATAGTGAAAAACGGAGTTAATATTAGACTTTGTTTAATAATTTTATCTTAGTATGTGTGATAGTACCTACACAGTCATTTGGTAGTTTAACCTGGATAGTTTTCCATGAGTTATCATCTTTAAGAAAAAATAGGAGCCATCTTGAAGAATTGAGCATTGCAAGAGGATTAGGCCTACTGGGATGGGGATACCACGATAAAAAACGCGCAACTTACTTACACCTCATGGTGGTGTGGAAATTAGTTTTTTGCGTACGCTAAAGCTATTGATTTTACAAAAAAAAAGTTATTACGTAAATTATAGGACATTTTGGCTACTTTAATTTATTACATAAATTTATCGTAAATTGAGTCGGAAAGTAGATATTGTCAAATAACTGTTTTAAGGTGCAATTTTTGTAATATGGCGACGCGAACGGCAAAGGTACGAGGTGGCGAAATAGAAATTCGCAAAAAGCACATCAAAATCTATAAAATCACCAATTTTAAAACTCCCGGAAAGCTTTCCAGGTAACGTTTTATTTTTTCAGAACCAAATGATTGTACTGTAACTGTAATAAAAAATTTTCGGCAAATATTCATAATAGATACGTAGTGATCTTTTTATGTAGCCTGTTAGCTAAGAAACGAAGGTATAGCAACCAATTCACAACGGTAATTTAAATATAACGGTAAGTTAAATTAATTATAAAAAGAAAATTTTTTAAACCATTTTGAGTACACAAAGGAGTATTAAAATCTCAATGTCGTCTAAATAATTCCATTAAAAACCACATCCCCTATTCTGCCAATCTTTGGGATATAATTTTTCTCCACATTTATATGGAAAGAGTTCTGAAGTATAGCTTATTTAATACAAAAAGAATTATCAAAATCGGTTCACAATTGACAAAGATATTGCGTAACACACACAAAAAAAATAGTCTCGAATTAGAAGGTTTATTTCATCATCATCATCATTAAAGCCCTTCACAAGTCCACTGCTGAATATAGGAATTCCTCAAGGAATGTCACAAAGCACGGTCCTGAGCCACCTGCATCCATCGACTTTCTGCACATCTTACCAGGTCGTCACTCGTCACTCCATCTAGAAGGGGGTTGCCTTACATCTCGCTGCCACTCGAGAACCTTTTTTCCCAACCAGTTGTTGGTTCTTCGAGATATATGGCTGGCCCATAGGCACTTCAGCTTACTAATCCATTAGGCGATCTCGGTTACTCTGGTGCTATTGCGGTTATCCTCATTTCTAAGTTTATCACGTAGAGAAACCCTGAGCATAGCCTTCTTCAAAACTTGCTGAACGATCTTAAGTTTTCTCATACGATCAACAGTGAAATACCACGTCTCAGATCAATAAGTCTTCACTGGCAATACACACTGTTTGTACACTCTCGTCTTCAAGTTTTAGGTATACCTGACTAGAGTATGTGTCGTAATTTCCCAAACGCTGCCCAGCAGAGTTGAATCCGTCGATTGACCTCTCAGTCGAAGTTGGACTTACCTAGTCGGACTATTTGTCCCAGGTAAACATACTCGTTAACATAGGTGTGACATGGACGTTACACATTATCTTTGTTTTGTCCATGTTCATCGTAAGACCTATCCGTTGGGAGGCACTATTAAGGGCCTCGAGCATAGTGCTTAGGTCCTCCAGCGATTCTGCCATAAGGACTATATTATCGACAAATCGAAAGTAAGTGATGTACTCGCCAATGATGTTAATACTGTATCCTTTAACGTCATTACGTTCATTAACATCATAACGTCAGCCTATCTTACACCTCTCTGCAGTTGGATAGGTTGCGTACTAAGGTTCTGTACTCGGATTGTTATTGTACTGTACAAACACTTCGGCACTCCCTTATACTGACAGCAACTTGCCACCGCTGAAGGGACTGCAGCTCCGCCCAAATTTCGACAGAATCAAAGGCTTTCTTCATAGTACACATACACAAAACACAGTGGCAGATTGTACTTCTCGATCTTCTGACAATCTGCCGAAGGGGTACGTATGTGGTCTATGGTGCTAAAGCCTTATCGCAAACCGGCTTGTTCGGGGGTTGAAGTCGTCGAGTTTGCATACGAGACGATTCGTAATGACTCTCGAAAACAGCAGGTAGACGTGGCTCAGTAGGAAAATCGGCCTGTAGTGCTTAAGAGAGTATTGTCGCCTTTCTTGAGGAACAAAACCACCGCGAGTCTGCTCCACGACTCCAGAGTAGTGCCAACATGGAGGACGGAATCAAAGAGCTTCTGACGGACTTCAAATACCGGTTTTCTGTAATTCCATCCTCACTCGGGGACTTGCCGTTTTTAAGGTGCTGGAGAGCCATTCTAATATCGCTCAGACTGACGTCCGGAATATCGTCGGAATAGTGTCAGATAAGAGTTGCTCTCGGATAGTTACTCACACTTGCGTGTGGCTCCAACGATTATTTTTACAGCTGCCCATAGAACCTCATTGAAAACCTCAGTTGTCACGAAAACGATGCTGCCACATTCGGTCTTCAGCTTCGACAGTAGGTTTTTTCTGGCAAACAGGTCTCTGGCAAAGACTTCGGAGCCCTGGTGCCTGGCCTGTATACTGTCAAATCTGCTGAAAACTGCAGCTTCATCTCCCTTCTAACAGCCATGAGATTAAGAGTGTGATCGGAGAGTTTTTGTGTTCTTCTGCGGTGGGTCTTGCAAATCTTATCTCTGACCGCAGGGACAGTTTCAGCGAGCTTGTCATTTATATCGTCCACTTTATTGCAGTCTTCTAGGCACTGATAACGGTTTTGTAACTCGAGCTGAAAGGTTTCGGGATTTTGTAATACAGAGCACGAGGGAGACAGAGCGTTGACTTCATTAGACGTGATCTCTCCAACTTAACGTTTAGGTTCAGTGTGCTTTTAACCATTCGGTGATCGCTACCAGTTTTCACCCTCGTAATCACGGAGACATTACTGAACAGTTGTCGTCTGATCGTCATAATAAAGTCAATCTCATTTTTGTCGAACCGTGGGGCATCGACCAGGTCCACTTTCTGTGGGGCCGCTTCTGGAAGATAGAGTTAATCATAAAGAGTCCCTCTTTCTCCATGGCTGCACGCTGTTATGCATTACTAAGAATAATTTCCCACACCACGCAGAGCAGGCTAGCAAACGAATGCAGACAACATCTCCCGCACAAGTGATGTAGCTCTACATCATCTTTTTCTCTTTTACGCCATACTGCAGCTATGTTAGAAGAATAGTTGTAGAACGAACAAGTCGGCACGATCGGAAAAAGACCACGCTCTCACAGAATACCAGCATAAAATAGCAGCTTAACGCTGCTGTGTTTCGTATGGTGAGTGTAGAGAACCGAAGACCCTTTTTACTGGAAACGAGGCATTCCATCTTAGTCCTCACGGGTGACAACGCATCTGCATTTTGATTCGTAATCGAGAATAGATGTAGATGTTACTTACCATCAGGTAGATTGTATGCTCGGTTGTCACCCTTATCCTATAAAAAAATCATCTATCTGTGATATTTATCTTTACTCTAAGAAACTTTAACTGACTCTAAGAAAAAGTTTGCATTTGCCCCCTTTCACCTTACTTAACTTTAATATTATAATGTTAAAACGTCTAAATTATTCGAAAATGTAAGTTTGTTAGCCTAGAAATTTACGATAAGCGCCAACCTTTTTTTGTATATTACTGTCGGAAACCTTAATATAAATAACTGTAAGAGCTAATTTAATTCACTTAGTGTAAAAAAATCTTCCGACACATATTGTATCGAATGAAAAAATATTTACTTTGAATTTACTGTTAACTAATACTGAACGGAAACTCGTTTAATTTAACGGAGAAAACGCATTTAAGGTGATTTGATACTGAAGCTATTTTGGCTATAGGTGACTTACGTCTTGTTCACGTTAGCGTTTTGCACTTGTCCATATTCGAAGTCTACTAGGACATTATATATTTATATTTAAGTATAGTTTGTTAAAAAATGTAACAAAGATACATATTTTTTATAGTATTAGGGTGAAAAAACAGTCTACCAGATGGTATGTGGATGCTGTATAATGTGCGTGTGCATGTGTGCGTGTGTGTGTGTGTGTGTGTGTGTGTGTGTATGTGTAGATGTCCATAGAAATTGACATCATGAGACCACCCATGAGTATTAATATGGAATGCTTCGTTTCCAGTAAAAAGTATATCTTCGGTTCTTTACACTCACCATACGAAACACGGCAGCATTAAGCTATTATTTCATACTGGTATCCTATGAGAGAGTGGTCCCATCCCGGTCGAGCCGACCCATTCATGCCACAATATAGCTGCAGCGTAGCTTTTTCATGTAAACATACCGACCCATTCATGGCACAATATAGCTGTAGCGTAGCTTTTTCATGTAAACATACCGACCCATTCATGGCACAATATAGCTGTAGCGTAGCTTTTTCATGTAAACATACCGACCCATTCATGGCACAATATAGCTGTAGCGTAGCTTTTTCATGTAAACATACCGACCCATTCATGGCACAATATAGCTGTAGCGTAGCTTTTTCATGTAAACATACCGACCCATTCATGGCACAATATAGCTGTAGCGTAGCTTTTTCATGTAAACATACCGACCCATTCATGGCACAATATAGCTGTAGCGTAGCTTTTTCATGTAAACATACCGACCCATTCATGGCACAATATAGCTGTAGCGTAGCTTTTTCATATAAACTAATACGGCAGCATTTATTTAACAGCATTTATTTATGTTATTTATTTGATTAGATGTTGAATATCAGAAAATAACGTTATATTATTTCTTTTATTAAATTCAACTTATTCTAAACCCGCGATTTGTAAGTAACGGAAATTTAGTTTACGTAAGTTGTAAAATGGAAGTTTAAATAGATAGATGCTATTGGAGAGGATACAAAGGAAGAAGAATTTTATTAACTTTTAGGATGATTTGCAGTGTGTAATATTCGTGTAATGTCAGAAATTATTAGGCGAAATATTTGCAGTTTGTGTTGCAATTGATATTTAAAAAAGTTTTAATTTTTTTTTTATCTTATGGCGGCCTAGTCGTCCCGTTTACAACAGCTGTAGAATACGTAGGTCGTCGAAGATAGCACTGTCAGAGATGCGAGAAATCTAAAACTGCGACTGCGAATCCACTTACCAAACGTGACTATTATAACAAATTCTCCGTACAAAGTGATAGGCTCATAACCAAAAATTTACTTCTACAAGCTAATGGAGAGAAAAAAGAAGTATTAAAACGAGTCAGGTATAAAATACAACCAGTGATTTGATTACTACTTCATTCTAAATGAAAATACGAAACTGTCTCTGCGAACTATTTGTTCGAAATTATTTGGTGCTACTATTTCAATCTCAATACAATCTCTCGCGCACTCAACTCTCTTTTAAAGGAAATCTTTCCTTTTTCTTTTAAAACACTGATAAATTCTAACTAGAACAGTTTACTATACTACTACCCTTGACAAGTTGCTAAATCAAGTACATAAACATGCTACGTTCTTATGTTTAGAGTTATGAAATCATAAGATGAAAAAAAATAGGTTATAAGTAGTAATAAAATTATAAGTAAGTTATTTAATAGCTGTTTACTCGCCTTATAATAGAACTCGTTAGCAAGTTAAGGTTAAGTTAAGATATCATGATACTTACATTCGAAACAATAAGCTTTGAAGAAAAGTTAAATGTAAAGTTAAAACTACAGCCTATATACGTCCCACAGCTGGGCACAAGCCTCCTCCCACTTCTGAGGGGGTTTTATAAGAAACTTATATTGAAATTCGTATATTCTTCTGATCGAATTACAACGTTGGTAACTACGCACTTAATATCCAATACTAGGGCTTTAACCTCTGTCCCAGGGAACCAAATCGTACCATCGGATCTCCTGTCACCGTCGTTTAATATTCCACAAGACTTCAAAGCTGTGGAAAATTTATAGAGACAAGAGCTCTTTGGATAACATCGTTCAGAGGACCATGACGGGACATATTATCTATCAGCACTTTCTTACGACTAATTTTAGTTGCATAAATATAATCGACTATTGGTGCACTCTTCATGGAACCAGAATTTCGTTCGAATTGCCTTAAGCAATGAAAAGTTATCAACTGAAAACTTTATTTACATTAGCGTGTGTAGTGTGACATTTAAGAGCGAATATCTCACAAAGGAATCGGCAAAGAAATGAAAATAGCACCTTTATTTTAATTTTATTAAATTTTTCTTCTCAATTATAACCTTTAGCAGTATGCATATGGAAAAAAAGAATAGGTTCTCAATTCATCCGTATATTTTTTAATTTATTTTCGAGCATAACTTCATTGTTTATGAACCGATTTTAATGATGTTTCTTTTATTAAATAGGTTATAATAGTGTACATAAACATTTAACAAAAAAGGATGAGGGAAAAATAGGGAATAGAATTCACAATGTAACTACTTCAATCTAGATAACACATTGAACGTGTGATATCTAAAAAGGATAAAATAATTACCACATAACAGCTTCTACAGTCAGGGATTTTATTCCATGATACACCACCACTTAATATTAGGTAGTGGGTGTACTAGAGAATGGTAGAGAATTTATTTTCTGTGCCCTTACTTCTATAGCATAGTGATATTTATTTATAAGACAAGATAAGATAAAATTGGTATTTAATGATTAAAAAAACAATTTAAACTTACCTCAGTCCAGGTATAGTTGTAAGAATTTGCCCTTCAGCAGTGACCCAGTTGACGTCTGGTGTCGGATGGCCAGTAGCTCTACATACAGCAAATGCTCCACGAGTAGATGGCCACAGCACCCGGGTTGGCGGTTCGACTGTAAAATGTGGCCGCTTGTTTCCCGCACTTGAGGCCAGTGCTACCGTGAGGACGATCCCAAAAATCCATGGTATTTTACGTCCTTAACAAAACATTAAAAAAAATTATTCTGTATTGTAGGATTTTTCTTCATTTTATTTAACAATATATTTTTTAAATTTGTATTTGAATTTAAATTGTTATTATGTGTTAGGTAAGTTATCCATCTATTATATATTACCCCATATCATCTAGTGAGCTGTGTAAGAAGCGACAGAAGGAAACTGAAACAAGATGGACAGCAGCATCTTCCTGACAATAACCGAAAATAATGAAAATACTGCGGTTGCGGTAGAAACCTTCGAAGCAAAAAGAGCTGATGATCTACAAACATAGCTAAGTTACTTTCGATCAAGTCACCTTTCAAATAAAAGACACTAAATCTAAATCGGTTCATTCATTTTTGAGCCACAATGCCATAGGCAGACACGCAGATCCACAGAAACACAGATTCACACATTAAACATATTATAACGCCCCTCTGTTTCGTCGAGGGTTAAAAATGGGGGATTTTACTATAGTTGCCACGAGAGGAAATCTATGGGGAAAGCTATGCTCAGCAGTTGACTAGACTAGAGTGGCTTAGACCTCATCGAAGATGGAGTTTGAGATGATTTTCCCATAAAAATTCAGCGGCGGCCGCTAGTTCAAGCATTCTAGATAGCAATGTATGGAAAAATTGGCTGAATTTATTGAGAACTTTTATCAATTGGCATAATGTACGTTGCAGAAAAAAAATTATCCACTCTCCCTTACCCTCCGCGTGAACGCCAGCCCACGAATTTTTTTGCCACCAGAGCAGCGCCACTAGAAAGTGAGGAAGGTAATTTGTTTGGAAAATGTAAAAGTTATTGTTTCTTTTTGTACTATTAGCTATATTATATATTAATAATATAAAAAATAAATAAACCAAACCATAGATATTCATAAAAGTAGAAAAATTAAAAAAGGTTTATAATGCGCTAAAAATTAAAGAGCAGACCAGGCATGAGGCATTGTTTTGTGTATTAATATAATATTCTAGAAACTGATAAACTTTTATTTAAAACTAACTTCTTAATTAAATGACATTGTGTAACAGAAAACTTTACCTCAGTATCAACTAGCGACATCTATACAACAGAAAATTATTAGCCCTCATTAAAGTAGCCTTCACTCATGACATCACCATACTAGAGCATTATGCCTGCCAAACGCCCCGCTCTGTTGTGGGTTCTTTTTTGTATTTTAAAATTATTAAATTTTTATTTATTAATCGAATTCAGATTTAAGTTTATTTGTATATATCAAAACGATAAATTACTTGAAAATTGACATCTAAAATATTTTCATTAGTATGATTGACTTTATATTTATTAATTGAAAATTAACGTTTTTATTAAATATGAAACAAAATTGTTTTAATTGAAATCTGTTTTGTTTCATGCTACCACTAGAAGGCAATCATAATATTGCTTTCTACTCCAACATTTGGCAGTGTTTTAGATGTATGCAGAAACACTGCACCATTTTGCTGGTGCAAAAATGGATATTTAAAAGATTTATTATAATGCCGTTTATAGTAGGTTATATCGTAAATCAAGTCGTGCGAGCAGCGTCCATTGGCCGGGTCAGCGCATTATTTACACCGTATATACAGAATAACTAGATTTTTAGAAAATTGAGGACGCAAGTTAGCTAATTGCATAGTGAAAAAATATAAATAGAAACGTTTTTATTCCTTACACTATCAGTTTTTACTGTGATTGAGTGTAATTAACGAGCACACAGTCCTCTTTATGGTAGTTGTATGTGTTGTTGGTCTTGAGGATTACTAGTGCTGATACCGTACTAGTACCGGTCGGATTTTTTCTGTATAGGAGACCATCTAAGTAGAACCCACCTTCGCAACTATTCCTGCCACCAATCAGCAGACAGCACTGCTATGTTTCGGTCAGAAGGGTATAGAGATCCAGTTATTACAGACTGTAAGGCATTACAACTTATTTCTCAGAGGTGACAATGCATCTGTAAGCCTTCTTTGTTTAAGTTTGTTGTTGGTGTTCATGAGTTGCATTAGCCACTTACTATCAGGTGAACTTCATTTTCATTTGTCACTTTAATTTTATAATAAAATGATTAAGGTTGTATGCTCGTTACATATAAAAACTCAACATCTCTCTAACCAAACGGTAGCATTATGTTAAATTTTACAAAGATATTCTGCGATGGCGCTGTTCTTCCCCGGTCAAGCCAAGTAAGTTTGTCTTTTTGCGGCTATTATACATCTGCAACGTGACCCTGCCACACACTTTTTTCTTCTTTTTCTTGTCCTTATCCCAAACTTTTTTCTTTCATTTGGATTTTTGTCAAAACGACATGCCAATCCTATCATACTTTATACTAACACTATAAAACAAAGTTAAAAAAATAAAAAAGCATAATTATGAGTGCTAATAAATTACTCTACTAAAATCAAACATCTTTGACTTATACTGAAGATGTGATTTGTATTCGGTCTTATTAGCAAACCGGAATAACTCACTTAACATCCTTGCTTTAGGGTTTCATAGAACCCGTTACACTAGATTGACATCCAAAACATTTACGTTAAACTCTTTCAGATCATCCTGTCTACCATTTTCGTTCTAGACACACTCCATTCATAAATGGTATATTATATCTTCAATTTTGTGACATACATCACAATTCGGTGAAGGTTGTTCTCATTAAGAAAACGAACTTTGCTAAAGGAATATGACAACGCCTTAGGACTAACTTAACAAAAGTTCTGCTCAGTTAAAGGTATCCCAAGTTATTTGGGGTGAGCATAGTATGTCTTCTTCTTCCATTATCTTCTATTAACCGTCCTATCTTCAGTCACTCACCACGTAGTGATTCTAATACGTAGTAATTCATAAAATTTGTATCTTTGGGCTACGAATGGTTTAAGACAAAGGAATTCGAACTCTCATGATTCCTACGTTGCTTACACTAAAAACTAATGCAGACTGGAAACGTTTGGAACACCTGTGATCACGTTAGCGCTGTGTCACTAGGAAAAAAGGACTGTCTCATGAGAGTGTATAGCTTTCATATGTATAATTTTCGTTTGTATATTACAACCACTGTTAATAAAAGCTCGGTAACGCTGTAGCTAAGGTACTTCCTTCATTAACTACGGGACGCAGGTTCGATTCCCATACTTAATAAATATTTATATGGCTTACAAATAATTGTTTCAGGTCTGCATGTTTGTTCATATACATTGTTTTACGTGGTAGAGCCATGCTGCAGCTATATTAGTAGTATAGTTGTAGCACGAATGACTCGGCTCGACCGGGGAAGGACCACGCTCTCTCAGTAAACCAGCGTAAAATAGCAGCTTAACGCTGCTGTGTTTCGTATGGTGAGTGTAGAGAACCGGAGACCCTTTTTACTGGCAAAGAGGTATTCCATCTTAGTCCTCACGGGTGACAACGCATGCATCTTGAGTCTTTATTGAGGATAGATGTAGATGTCTATGGGTCACAGTAACGACTTACCATCAGGTGGACTGTGTGCTCGTTTGTCACCCTATCCTATAAAAAAAAAACAATTTATGTATACAGAACGCCCTCACAATTCTACAAATAGCTAATATACTACTTCCTTTTTCCGCGGAACGGGTAGTTCAAATATCAAATACTAATTTCTAAAGTCCCTTGGAGGTATAAAAATTCAAATAAGTAATCTAAGTCAACGCTATCAAGAGATATGCATTTTGATGCCTCAGTTTTAAAAGTTACAGCCTATATCCGTCCCACTGCTTGGCACAGGCCTCCATTCATTTTGAGAGGGTTTTAGTGCAAGAAAATATCCTTTGCGCTGCACCAATGCGCGTTGGTGAACTTCACATGTCTTCGAAAAATTTTTTTTAATTGCTATTAACAATTTCAGTAGTGCCGGTGAGTATCGAAGCTGGGTTGTTCGCGTACCGTGAACTTTACTGCGAACGCTTAGCTCCTGAGTTACCACGGCTCTCAGTTTTATACTCGCTAACTCCCACATTATAATCTATTGACTACTTTCCGTGAGCTTGAATCATGAAATTTGACGAGACTCACGGTCTCTTAGCAAGAGAAAAGTAAAAAATTCCAGAAATCTCTAATTTGTAGTTAAATTATATAAAACTAGCTATTTGCTATTTCAAACTTACATTTGCACCGATGTATGAAAGGGCATTTTTTACATTGCGTTCATTACATTGTTTTCATAAGAGCAATGTTCAGTTTTCACTTTACCTAAAATTCCCGGAATAGATGAACATTATAATAAATTAATTTATTCTTACGGAACCCTCAGGTTTTTTTTTGAAAATAGAAACGCTGAAATGATGCTGAACTATTTATTGCATAGACATCCAGTTTGTACCAATCTTTGTCCGTTATTACCTACTGACGCTAGGTTTTAGTAACAATTCAAATATTCCGCTTGTATACACATCCGTTCTCATTTCTGAGAAGATATGAAGCATAAGAATGTGATCTGGTGTGGAAGGGGAAATATATATCTATTTAATCGAAATACATTTTGTTTCTCAGAAGTACAGGTTTCTCCACACGTGACATTATAATAGGTGAGTTGATGCTCCTTTGCCCCTCTTCTCTAAAATAAATTAAGTACGTAATATTATAATTGACGTTTACAGTGGCGCCACCATCAGTGATCAAACACTGGTTTCTCGCGTAAGTTATGTGATAGTAAAAGCAAAAAGTAAGATAATTATAAATTATAGAATTTTGGATTTTAATTTACCTATTCCTTTTAACTATATTTATTATATTAATATAAAATTATTTTGATAATTGATTATAAAATCGACCTATTTCTGCATAAATTACACGATAGTTAAAAATTATTTTCATAATGATTTCTTATATTTACGCAAACACTACACATTGACTAAAAATACCTTTATCGGATTTTATCACGTTTATTACTAATTATTTTTAATTCCCGACGCATCGGGTGTTTTACAGCACCCATGGTAATTAAAAACCTGAAGTACTCCGGGTTAACTTT